TATTATATTAAATTTATTTTTTCCTATTTTTAACGGCTACAATACGCCCACCCTTCACAGGTCCATCGTCCCTCTCTTTCTGGTGGCATGGTATCGATTCGTCCATTTGAATTGTATCAACTTTCGGTACGCCTTGAAAACGTTCAGGAAATTTATCGAATCGTCTCCTTTTATGATGATTTATAGTATAATATCTCCGGTACATTTCCATATATAATCACTGGAAAACATATTAACAATAATGACATTTACATCGTGGTATCCATATTTATAATCTATGGAACAGTAATATTGACAATATAATATACAAGCAAAACATCATAATTCATTCATTTTAATACATTTGGAAAATATGAGTTATAATATACATTATGAAGGGTCTGATTAATGGGAATTAGGAAATAATGATTTTACATATAATATCGTAATGTGAACAAATGGTTTATGTGTGAAATGCAATTTCAACAACATGTAATTTTCCTTCTGTCATTTAAAAAAACAAAGCTAAATATTTTATAGAATATAAATCTCAGGAAATAAAATCCCTTAAAAATAATTCTCAAGGAAAAATTTGAGATTAACAAATATAAACTAAGCGAATTATTCGGTATGATTATTAGTGTTTATTAAAATAAATTAATTATCTATCATTTCTATTGATGACCTATTAATCTGGATGTGATTAATAAAGATATGTGTCAACTGCTTGTAAACGGCTTTTCTTAGTTGGAACTAATTTGCTGTCAAAGAATTACATCTCTTATAAAGAAAAACTAAAATAGATAGAAAAATCCATTTTTAGGTATTAAAAATAATTGTAAAAATTTGCCGAACAAAGATTTTAAACAAAATTACAAGGAATATGTATAGACATAAATGTAATATTTTATAAGGAGGAAAAATATATAATATGTATAAAATAAAATATTTTTCATTTAGGAATTACTCAGTATCCTAAGAAAAATATACCATTTCTACCTAACTTGCCATCACAATTATCCCAGATTCACAGAAATTTAGAATGCAAAGTAACAAAAATTGAGAATATAATGGGCTATATGATATACATGTAGAGAATTTTTAATATAACATTCAAAATATAAAATAATCTGAGTTTTTTTTTTCTTAAAAAAAATTACATGTTCATAATATACATCGTAAAATGTGATGTGCTATAAAATTATTACAAAGATAAAAAAAATTTAATAAACAAAATACATCTACAAAAAAATAAACGATATTTCCATTTTAAGGCATACCAAACTAAACGATATTTCCATTTTAAGGCATACTCATCAACACATGGCTGACCTTATCCATAAAAATATTTGCCTTTCACATCATTGCATACAATAGAAATTGTATAATAAGCAATTAAAATTTTTATAAAATTTTATTATTTAAAAAATATATATATATTAAATATAAAGATTTCATAATTTAAAAAAAAAAAAAATTAAATATCATAATTTCTACCAATATATCATATAAATCCATGCCAAATTTATATATATCAAAAATATCAAACTTATTCCAATATATCATATAAATCCATTCCAAATTTATATATATATATATATCAAATTCATACATTAAATCAAAAATAACTATCCACTTATAATATTATAGATATTATTATGACTTTTATCATAACTCAATTCCTTTAATTTCAATGTACTTCATAAAGTTATTAAATAACCCTGCAGACACATTACCTCATATTTTCACCAATGATATCATTCCTTTTAAACCTAAATATATCCCATATATGCTTCATATAACATTCCTTTACACCTAAATGTATCCTATATATGTTTATCATTTATAATTAAATTACTTCAAAATAAACAACATGAACACACCCACAATAGATCCCTTACTAATCAACCTTAATTGAAACTGGATTACATTCACAATATAGTAACATTAATTAATAATAAGTCATCCCACACTGTCCTTCCCTTTAAAAACCCAATATATATAATTATATAACAAATATTTTATTATAAAAATCCACTTCTTTATATATTTTCATCCAGGAAAAAAGCCCCCGGAAATTAAACCCCCAGGAAAAAAAACCACGAATTTTTTTTTCGAATTTACTTAAGATCTAATATTATCGGTATATTTCTATTTGGATTTAATAATGTTTAGATAAATTAGTATTTTAGAAAAAAATATTATAAAAATATAATTTAACAATAAATTTTTTTCCAATTCATTATTTAAAGATTACTCATATACCCTCCATAAAAAATGCTTAAACAAGAAAAAATGCTGCTGTTCAAATTGGTACTGGGAAAAAAATATCCCAGTAAAATAACCCATGTATTACTTATTTTAGTAACAATTATTTGCTATAGTAATAAATACAATATCCATCCATAATTACTATATTAAGTAGACTAAATTTGACAAAATTTGCAATAAGATCTGTTTATTTTATTGATAAATCATTAGTATGTATATACAAATTTAATAATTTAGAATAATGATTATATGGGTTGACATAGAATATTAAAGGAAATCTCCCTCATAAAATCTGGATGGCTTCGCACCCCATCACGGTATTCCTTGCAAAGTTTCTTTAGCCGAATCTGGGTATTGTAATCTGCGATTTTGTTTTCGGCCAACTACCTACACCCCATAATTTAAATTAGGTTTCATCGGCAGCCACCTCGCATTTCATTTTTTTAATCAATACCCAGATTGATGGGTGTTTATTCCCAATCAGATTAGAAAAACGATGATTCCAACCTTCGCATTGATTAAACATGCGTTCTTCGTCGGATAGAGTGCACTCATTCACGTTCCAAGTTTATGGAGGAAATCTAGGCCCAATTCGACGTGTCTGGGATTGGCTTCAAATGACCTCCCTTGATACTCCATTAATGTAATTTTTATCCAAATATTCAAGAATATCCTTACCATTGCTCGGAGTAACCGATCTAAGGAATGCCATTGCATTGCCCATATCACATAAAGGAACAAATTCTAAGCCGTCCATCATGCCACAAAAGAAGCTTCTGTATTGGCTTTCCAGACCTAGCTTTTAAATTTTTATATGGGTATTTTGACACAAATGGTAAAAGCATCCTCTGATTATGATGTGATCCCCTAATTGAAAAAATAAATATAAATTTAAAATATTAGTAATCATACCAATGACAGTTTTAACCGCGCTCATAGCAGACATTTCGAAATCCATGTATATATATAATGGATCAGGAAATAAATCCCGTTCTTGACATTTAGACATTATTACTTCGAATATGTGTTTTTTTTTAAGTTTAATAGCTGTTAATGATTGTGGCATTCGCTTATAAAATTATTTATCAATATAAATTATTAGGTTATACTAAAAAAATAAGTGAAAATTGAGAAGAAAAAATCGAGGAAAGATCAGAAAAATAAAGATTAACAATGACTTAAAGCAAAAATGGGAATAAAAATATAAATTGAGAAAAAAATTTAAGAAAAATTGACAAAAAAATTTAAAAAAATAACGATTTTCTTTGTTTTTGAATTTTTTTTTCCACGGGGTTTTTTTCCGGGGGTTTTTTCCATGGGATTTTTTTCCGGGAGTTATTTTTCCGGGGGTCTTTTTTCCTATTACCATATTTTCATAAACCCTCAATTACACAAATTTATATCTTAATCATATAAATATTCAGCAATCCTTTGTGTCCTGCATTACGTGAGGTCTGTTTTCCGGCTGATGGAAACATTCAATGAGTCTTAATGCTTACCTTAATAAGACAATAACTTATTGTCAAACATTGGATGTAAAAATGTAAATTCAGACATATAATATCAAAAATATTATTGTCTTAAATGGGCCAATGAATCAAATATCATTAACCCTCAACAGTAAACCCTTTTCAAAGTAATATATAATTATTATACATTATATATATATACATAATAAATTCATAATTTTATTTTCATTTTCAGTCCTAATATTCATTACATACTTTCTATCATATTCCTTATTTGCCAAATATCTATAACAAAATGCTAAAATAGCTTAATCTCTACCCATATAAAAATCTTATTTTCCCCACACTTCTTTCTGACACATCGTATAGTAATAATTGCATTGTGTTAACTTACCAGAACTTCTGATCCTTAGGCCAATTATCTTTTCAAAATTTAAATTATTTCCGTATTGTGTATTACGACTCTACCGACGATCAAAAGCATTGATTAGTAAAATTTTAAAAATATTAACTGTAATATATTATATAACTGTCAAATACGTCTGCAAAAGTGGTATTTTACCTAATATTTTATAAATAATTATATATAATAGAGGATTATAAACTATATGTCTACTTACTTTTTATAAATATATCTCTTATACTTATTTGGATTTGGACCTTGAAAATAATTTTAGAAAGAGACATGATAATTAAATTTAAAAATCAATAATATAGTTGATTAGTGATGTTAAACTCGGCGAATTACAATTAAATTTGTTAAATTTCAATTAATAAATGATTATATTAATTTAATTAGGGTTATATAATAATTTAAATAATAAAAGTCAATTAAGATTCAACTGATAATGCTAAATTAATATTTAGTGAGTGATATTGATATATTTTTAACACAGAATTTGATCGCAAGCTGACATAGTGAAAATATAATTTATATGTATTAATCTAATCTAATAATTAAAATAGTATTCATTTAATAAAAATTTAGATAGTCTTATTAATTTTTAAATAATAGAATGAAATCTATATATTACTCAATCTATTATAATAATCCTCAAAAAACGTCAATCAAATTTAGCCAATAGTGTTCTTTTAAAAAAAATTTGTCCAATAAAAATGATTATAGGGTAATCGGTCCAATAGTAATCATGTAACAACCTTAACATTCATTCAATTTTATAACACATTTTACCATCTTCTCATAAGGTTTTTTTTATAGTTTATATATTTAACCTACATGAAACGTTAATATATTGGAATATTCAAGTCTTTTAAAATTGGCTTCAAATAAATTTAAACTTCAAACTGGGTAGAATAAAGGAGAGTTTTAATGTCGCAGTATGCATCTATGAATTTAGGGGTAAAACAATTTTATTATCAAAACTATTTTTAAAGTATACTTTGATAAACTTTTTGAATATTTTGATTTTTTTAAAACTTAAATTTTTTTAAAACTTAAATGTGTCCAAAGTGTTGTTATTAATTTGTGAAAATTTTAAGGATTTTTTAAAACATTTTGGATGCAACTTAAAATAAAATTTTAGTTAATTATTATTCAATAAATTTTTTGGGTTTAAAGAAAAGTTATTTGGGAATATAATAATATTTCTTAAAATAGTAAAAATAAAATTTGGTATCTGTTCTATCTCCAGTTTTGGAATAATAATAAAAATGATTATTTTAGAAAGGAACTATTAAATATACACATGATTTTCATATAAAACCTACACTTATCATAATAAATTATTTAAATGCTTTTAAGACCTTCATAAATACTCTTTTAAACAAAGACCTCCTATCATAGATTTAAATCAAATATGAGATCAACCTGATTGTCTCACAAAAACTCTGTGGTGGTATCCATTGGCCATTTAGAAGATTATTGTCAAGGGTCAAAATTCAGGGTCTTAATTTATTATGTATACATAGCAATTATGATTGATTGTTAAGGGAGAAGTTAAAAGAATATTTATGAAGGTCTTAAAAGCATTTAAATAATTTTTTAAGATAAATGTAGGTTTTATATGAAATTCTTGTGTATATTTAATAGTTCCTTTCTAAAATAATCATTTTTATTATTATACCAAAACTGGAGATAGAATAAATACCAAATTTTATTTTTATAATTTTTAGAAATTTTATTTTAAGCTGCTTCCAAAATGTTTTAAAAAAATCCTTAAAATTTTAACAAATTAATACATTTTGGACACATTTAAGTTTTAAAAAAATTAAAATATTCAAAATGTTTGATATGATTCAATTATTAATTATTTATTAAAAGATATGTAAATATTTAATTGTATTTATTATTATATATTACCATTCAGTTATTAAACTTTATATGAACTTATTATTTGATATGGTTATATTTAAATTTTATTTATATACTTAATAAATAAATATATGTTGTAAATAATTGTATCAATATTTAATAAACAGTTGGAAAACTAATAATAACTTTTATTTTGAAAGATAATATAATTTTTCCATAAATTATATAAAATTATTATATTTGAGTTATAAAATAAAATTATAATAGAAATGATATAATCTTTTAAGAATAGGAATATTTTTATTAATAACTATAGGGTTTTCATTTTCTTTGTTGGCATTATCTTGATCTAGCTATTATTCAATAATATAACAAATAATAGTAACATAATGTACAGAATCATTAGACATAGGGATAGCAATTTCATTATGGTATGATGCAGTTAATTTTACATACATATATAAAATAATATTGTTCCGAGATGTCAATTTTTAGATTCCTAAAATAAAAAACTATTTTATATTTTTGCCTTTTAATATTTTACATTTGTCTGTCAATTTTAAAATTGACTCAGATATTTGGTAATATCATCAATATTTTCTTTTAACCATATATATTGTTTGACATATAGTAGATCTTTATTTTCCAGCACCTTTTAATGTTACGATCTGAGTTATTGTAATATATTTATTGTATGGTTTAAGAGAAAATTGACAGATATTCCAAGAGAAATTGCAGATATTATTAGCAGTGTAATATTTTGAAGAATAAAATAAAGAATTAAATAATTTTGTAAAAATTGTCCACTTACTAATACTTCAATTACCATTAAATAATTCAATCTATTATAATATAGTGTTGTATATTTTCTCATAACTTCATAATTGTAGAATGTATGTTATTCATAACTTATTATAACATTTTTGATAAAATGTATAACATTTTTGTTTTACTTATATATAATTTGACTATGATTGTAGTTAACCTCCTATTATTTGATCTTAAAATATCTTTTTATTTTTTCTATTGTAATTTAATATCAATTTCTTAAATTTAATTTTATAATTTGTAACTAAATAATAAATCATTTGGAAAGGTGGTGGTTTATTTAAAATTTAAATTAGGATGAACATATTTTCAGCATGGTACTTTAATGTGTATTCATGAATTTCATATAATGATAGGTAAATCAGATATTTCCCCTTCATTTGATGATAATTTTGAAAAATTTTCTTAATTAATATATACATATATTAGACAAATTTAATTCTTATAAACCCCTTACTATTTTTCAGGATCCAAGGAAAAAATTAATTATTCTGAATTTTCCAGGGCTTGGGAAATATTTTTCGCAATTTGGACTTGGACGTAGCTTGCTAAACATTTTTCAAAAAATTTTTTAATTTTAAATATGGGCTAGAAATTGGCCTGAAAATTTCTTTAAAAAACATGGCCAGGCCTGATCAAAAACCAAGGCCCATGCAACTTTCATATTCTGATTGTATTTTTAAATGCATTGTGACTTTTTATATATTTTATTTCAGTTCTCAACTACCAAAATTATTATGGTCTTTGGCAGGTTTGAGAAAATTATCCCAAGTGCGGACCTGGCTTGGGAATTTTTTTAATATTAGGCATTGGTGTAATATTTAACACAGAATATTTATATAGCCCTCAAAAGCTAATTTAAATATTATTTTTATTCAAAAAAATAGTATTCACTCTTAGTCTAAATGGGTTGGCCTTGGTCTGAAGTAGGGGTGAGCAGGGTTATGATAGAATAAAAAAAAGATTTGGTTTTTAGAGATTTACTTATCTCCAGGTTTGGGAAAAAATTTTGAAAATTACTATGGGTTGGTCAGGCTCGAGAAAAATTTTTACAAAATTATTATGAGTTGGACTGGGCTTGGAAAATATTTTTATAAATTATATTGGGGTGGGCTTGGGGAAAATTATGAGCTTCGACGTTTGATAATTTTTTTATTATTAACTATGGGTCAGACATTGGCCTAAAGCAAGTTATTTTGCAGGCTTGGGCTCGGCCTGATCAAAAAACCAAGGCCCATGAAAATCTGATTTTGATTGTATTTTTAAATTCATTATGATTATTTAAATGTTTTATTTCAGTTCTCAACTACCAAAATTATTATGATCTTTCATTGGGCTTGGAAGAATTTTTTTAAAATTATCATGGCTTTGTACTTTGCCTGGGAATTTTTTTTTAATATTAAATATTAGGTATAAGTGATCGGTAATATTTAACAAATAATATTGGTATTATCAAGTAAAAGCTTTAAATTTATTCTTACTCAAACAATAATTTTAGTCTTAGTTTTAATGGATTGAACCTGGCCTGAGGGGGGGGGGGTAAAAAGAATAAAATTGGATATAATTTTCAAATAACAGGTAACATCTAGCAAAAATATAAGAAGAAAATTCTTATTCCCCGTCATTTTTACGGGCTATCTACTGGTAGAATTATAAAAGAAATTGTTCAGAGAGCAATTAAAACATTTATTTTTAGTTCAAGGGGATATTAAGGAGTCATTAAAAAAAATTTTGCTTCAGAGGGCTATTCAAATTTTTCAGAGGGCTCGAGCCCCTGCGCCCCCCCCCCTTAGCGACGCCACTGATTATTATGGTACGCATATTTATAAATTTTTAATAAAAATGATTATGAAGAAGTTATAAAACTGTATGAAAATGATATTTCATCAAGAAAAATATCATCTATTTACAGGTAAAATATAATATTTTATAAATGCATATATAAAATAATAATTATTATATAAGTTTATTAATATAATTTTCTTAATACATTTCAATTTCAATATTATAACAGACCTAAATAAATATCTTGCAAACTAAAATCTTCATTATATTGTGTATATTTATATATTGTGATAATATAATATATATTGTGATAATATAATATATATTGTGATAATATAATATATATTGTGATAATATAATATATATTGTGATTATAATATACATTATTTTAGCATATAAATTTTAGACTGATAATAAGATCAATTATTTAAAAGAATTATATCTAGCAAATAAATATTTTTATAAATAACTATTAAATTGACAATATAATATGATTCAAATTGATACAATTGGATATGATCATTTTAGTTATCAGGATATAATTTTGGCCTTATAAGAAGGTCAAATGATGTTATATTATAAAATTAGATTAATTTTGAGTAAATTTATTATGATATTATAAAAAATGACTGGCACTATACCCAAGATAGGCCAAAATAATAAACAAAAAATTTTAGAGATGAAAAAAATAAAATTGTTGAATATCATATTACATGTAGTAAAATGTTTTATAGTTTATCTGTTAAAAAGTTATTAAAAAAATTATAATATTATTATTTATATATACAAATAAATATTCAAGCTTATTATCATGCAATTCAATTAAACAAAAAAATGCCCAAATCATGGAAAATTAATTAAATGTCTGATGAAGAATGGTTTTCTTCATTTATGAGAAGAAATCCAAGATTATCTCTAAGATCTCCTTGAGGCTACTAGCTTAGCTCGCTGGTTTTAATAAAGAGGCCTTTCTTTATTTTTTTTAATCTATATAAGGGAATACTAGATCAACATGAATTAAGACCTATGTCAATTTATAATATGGACGAAACAGACTTGACAACTGTGCAAAACCCATCAAAAATTGTTAGAGGCACTCTAATAACAATGGCACTGGCTGTTAACCATCTAGAAAATTATACCCCCCCCCCCCCCATGTTTATTTTCCACGTAAAAATTTTTATAATCATTTTATTAGAGACGGTCTACAGGGATGTATTGCGCATCTTAAGGATCTGGATGGATGCAAAAAGTTGAATTTATTATGTTTCTAAGTCACATTATTTCTAATACCAGATTAGCCAGAAATATAAAATTTTACTAATTTTGGATAATCGCATATCCCATTAATCTTAACATGCTATTTAATATTGTATAGATAATGATATAATACATTTATCATTTCTTCCACTACTCAAAATTGGAACTTTTAGACTAGACAGTATATTGGCCTTTAAAATTTTTTTATAATAATGGGATAGATTCGGGGTTGCAAAATCACCGTGGGATCTCTTTTTCCCTTTATGATATTTCCTCTGTTATAAAGGATATTTTACCTTTGGCAGCCTCCTCAAAAAATATTCAAAAAGAATTTGAATCGTGTGGAATATACCCCTATAATGAAAGTATTTTTCGGGAGGAGGATTTTATTCCTTCATCAAATCATGATAGATCGTTTATATTAGGATAAAGTTTTGGAAATCCTTTTTCAAGTTCCTCAATTATGTCTATTCCTAGCTCATCGATTAATTCTTTTCACAACACTTTTCCTTTTATTCATAGCCCCTCATTTAGTACAATTACTAGCAATTCAATTAATGATATTCCTATCCCTTCAAACATTAATCTCTCAGGTTCATTATTTATCCCTATCCCAATCTCATCTCGTAATTCGCAAATTAAAGGAACAAGGGAAAAGAGGCTGAGATCTTTACCTCATTCCCATTCAAGAGGGAACTTCTATTAAAAGAGAAGAATAAAAAATCAAACAAAAAACATTGTTAGAAAATTATTAAAAGATATGTGTATTATATGCAAACAGGATTATAAAAATTATTTTGAAGATTGGTTTCAATGTAGAGTATGTAAAAACGTTGAGCGCATGGGTCCTAAAAAAAGATTGTTATTTTATTTGTTATAATTGTAAATAGAATATTATATAAATAAAGCATCATAGTTATATATTAAAATCTGTAAAGAAAATTTTTTGTCTCATAAGAAGCTTAATAACCACTTGATTCGATTAGCCTCATCTATGATCCAACTAACCAGGGGTTCGGGGCTACTAGGTTTAAAAAATGACTTTTACTTAACCTTTTATAGAGAAAAAAAAATTAAAAATTTAAAAAATATAACAGTATATAATTATAGGTTGATGTTTAAGGTATCGATTGATATTTTGATTTACGATCATTATTTTCGGAGCTATGATCTTGACAAAAATCGCGCTGACTAGCCTTGATCTCTCCTATCCAGTGTCTACATGAGCGGGGGGGGGGGGTAGGAACAGTTTGCATCCTAATATCTATAAAGGGGTAGGGGGTAGATGGTAAGGGGTAGGAATGTTTGGGGGTAGGCTATAATAATCTAGAAAATTTTCCATTACATTTTTAAATTATCTTTGGATAACATTTTGGTATTTTTAGGGGGGTAGATATATATTTTTGAGGGGGGGGGGGTTTGCATCCAGTAAATATACTGTCATGTAGACGCTGCCCCTATCTCTAACATATTACAGGACTTTCACTCAATCACAGGTGTAATTAATGTATTGTGAATCCTAGATCCACTCCTTTAGACACTACATGTCATTAACAGAGAAGAGATGACATATTATGGATCATCCGTAGGTGGTGAAAAAGATTTTAAAACTTTTTGAAACAAATCCCTTAGCAATTTGTCTAAATTTAATTACCTTTCTGCACAACAATCTTTTTTTTTCAAAAGTTATTTTAATATTCCCAAAATCCTCTACGTCCTGAGATCTGCACCTTTCTATAAATAGAATGATTTGCTAGTTTCTCATGAAATCCAAATCAATCTCCTCTAAAATATATTGAACATAAAATTTTCATACTTATCCTATTTTCAGGCCATCCTCCTTAGCAAGTCATGTGGTATTAGCATTCGAACCCCATCTCGTCTATCTGCTTAAGTTAACATCAAAAAGGTATCCACTTCTATATGTCCTGATCTATCTCAGGCCCTTACCTATTGGGAGAGCAACAGACTTCCACCCGGTTGCCCAGCTTCCAGCATTCAAAAAGACTGGGATGTTACTTAGATCGCCCGTTCCTTTACCTTTTTCGAACAGACTCTTTGAGGAAAATCCCAATAACATAATATTAAATACAAACTAAGGCTATGAATGGTTAGAAGCTATTCTAGTTCCAACCTTGGACTGCTCATGACTAGCAAACAGTTATGTATTCTACTCCTTGCATTGGCTGTAATACAATAGTACTCTCCATTTTAATTGATTGTGGCCAGTTTATAGAATCGAATGCCTACCAATCGTTGCACTGCAAGTTTTCTCGGTCGACAACCCTGCCATAAATCCATTAACAACATTCTTCTAGCTACCCTTAAAAAATTTAAAATCCCATGCACTCTCGAACCAATGGGCCTTTACAATAAATGAGACATGCGACCGAATTGTATATCCTCATTCCCTTGACTAACGGTCTCCCGCTGATGTCAATTTAGTTGCAAAGTCTAACAACTCATTTTTTGTCATCGAAAAGACAGAAGTCTTGAAAAACCAAATATGCTGGCCTCATCGACATAGTGTTCATACCAATTATTGACAATACATGTTGGAAAATAAAGCCCTTAATCTCGTTAAAATCTTGGAAAAAATCAGGCCACTCCAACAAAAGATTCTACCTCTGTCGGCAGATTTCTCTCAAAATCAGCCAGTCAATTTCTTAAAAATTCACTCCCCTCTAGGGTGATATGCACCATTTTTAAAAATTTATTTTTAATGTTTTTCTATATAAATTTATAAATAAATATTTATTTTTCTTAATAATTTTTCTTAATAATTTTTTAACATATTTTTATTTGTTTTTTTTCTTAAATATTTTTTTAATTTGATATTGTTCATATTTGTATATATATTTTTTTTTAAATTGAAACAAATTTACCTTATAAAGGTAAAAATTAACTTTTTTTTTCGTTTAATTAAAGTTTAATAAATAACATGTCAACTACAGAAACTCTTACATATGACAACAATCCTAGGAGTTATATACCATCATAGTCCTAGATCTTCAAATAGAATTTGCAAACTAATATTCTTCAATGTTGTTTTTTTTTCGGTCATGGGTTACTTTATTTGAATATTTACATGATTGATTTTTATATAAATCTTGGCATATCACTTAGAGTGTATTATCTAATATGTTGTTAGTAAAATATTCATAAATATTTGCTGAAAACGATTAGTATTTTAATTGTATATCAAAGACATTTTTTTATAATCTTGATTTTCAATTATTTTAACGTATATTTATTTAATCCATAAAACTATAATTAGATGAGAATGAAACAAACATTTGCAATCCCTATGAATTCATGTGTAATGGAAGAGTTGAACCTAGATGCATAGGATGGAATAGATTTCAAGATGGTCATAATGATTGCTCTGATGGCGTTGATGAAAGTATTAATAAATAGACATTATTAGTATTATATTTTTCCAAGGATAATTTTTATTCTGGATTAAAATATTTCTGTAAAATATAAAAGTAGGCTTAATCAAAATAATATAAATCCGGCCTTTGGCCCGAAAAATAATAAAGTTATATACCCTTCCTATTCTTCCCATTTTGTCTGATTCATTATTACAATTATAAAATGAATAAATAAATGAGAAAATGGTTTTTTCAAAAAATATGTAGTAAACAAGAGTAGGAGGGGTAGGACAGCCCCCCCCTCCCAAGTCAAAAAATTTAGATGTCGGTTATTACTGATTACTACATTTTATTGCATATATATTCCAATTTACATTTATTTATCACAATAAAAACAGAAAAATTTACTTTACAAATTTATTATATGAATTATAATATCGATTTCAAATTTTCCTTGGCTTTTTATTATCTACCATTTTAAAATTTCCAAAAAATATTTTTTAAAAATGACATCGATATGACATCGATATGATTAAACCTATGAGAATGGCTGAAAGCATTATATTGTAACTTAAGGAAATTATGGTCAATGTAAATGACGAATTTCATTTAATTATGTCATTTTTTTCCCCGGTCATGGGTTACTTTTTGAATTTTCACTGATATGATATGTTGTCAACATCGCCGGGGTGGCCTAATGGGTTAGATGTATGCTTGGAAACAAAAGGACGAAGTAGGACGCAGGTTCAATCCTGGTAAGGAGCACAAAAACTTTCAAGTTTTTCTTTGATGACTGATGTGTAAAGACATATGGTAAGATGAATTTCGGAGCTTAGAGATGACACCCCGGTCACCGACAGGCCTGGACATCCGGGTGCTAAGGATACCTGTCCAATAAACAAAATGAATGAAACAAATGGAAATATGAATATGAAAGCTAGGGCGTTTCCTCCAATCGACGCGCAAGGTGTAGACCTCCATCCTGTGAAAAGTAAAGTAAAGGTCAAAGCAAAGAAGACAAGATTAGCAAGTTTTAATATTGGGACGCTTAGAGGTAAAACGAAGTTGGCATCAATGTTGAACAAGAGAAAAGTTGATATAGCGTGCATACAAGAGACGAAATGGAAAGGTCAGAAGACTTTAATGATTGGAGATAGGTATAAATTGTACAATAATGGAATTGTTAGCAATAGGAATGGTGTGGGCATCATCCTCAGTCAAGATCTAACCTCCTCAGTGGTAGAAGTCAACAGGATCTCTGATAGACTAATGAAGATAAAACTGCATGGATCAATCAATACTACATATCCTTTCAGTATATGCTCCTCAAAAGGAAGAAGAGAAAGATGACTTTAGAGCTATCCATGATGAAGCTGTAATGGAAATCCCTAAGGATGACCTAATCATAATTGGTGGTGACTTAAATGCGCATGTGGGGACTGCAAAGTCATCCCAGGAGAAGATATCGCCGCACAACACAAGCTACTAGTCATGGATTTACACATCTCAAATAAATCCACTTAAAACAAGATAAAACTAGAACCATGCATCAAATGGGGCAAATTAAAAATAATGACAGATGCCTTTGCAATCAATGCAAACATTGAAACAATAGATTCCTCACTAGAACTATGGTGGTGGAATGAAGAGGTACAAGCCACTATAAAGGAGAAAAAAGCCCTATATAAAATATGGTTCCAAAAACTCAGATGACAAGACAAATTACAAAAAATCTAAGAGAATAGCTACAAAGGCGGTGGCTAGGGCTAAATCTATCGCACACGATGACATGTATGAAGAACTACATACCAAAGAAGGGCAAATTAAAATATACAGATTAGTCAAACAGCGAGAAAAGAACTCTAGGAATATAAACGGAGTTCCAAAATTAATCAAAAATAAAGATGGGAAATTGATAATAAAAGAAAAAGAAATAATGAATGATTGAAAGAATATTTTCAGGAGCTTCTCAGCTTTAATCCCCACATACTACATCTAGACGAACACTCCCCATGTCAAAACCTTATACAATCAATAACAGAACTAGATATAATCACATGCCTCAAGCATATGAAAAACAACGGGTCCAGACGATATTCCAATAGAAAGCCTTAAAGCACTAGGAGATGATGGAATACATCTCCTCGCAAATCTGTACAATAAAATACTTGGAAATGAAGAGGTTCCCCAAAAATGGAGGCAGAGCTATCTAGTTCCTATCTTCAAAAATAAAGGGAAACCAGACAATTTTCAAAATTACAGGGGCATAAAGCTAATGTCACACTGTCTAAAACTATGCGAAAAAATAATAGAAAAAAAAATAAGAGACATAATCGAAATAGGAGAGACTCAGTTTGGCTTTATGTCTGGAAGATCAACAACTGATGCTATCCACGCAATTAGGCAAATGAGTGAAAAATACATGGAAAAGAACAAAAGGATACACATGGTCTTTCTCGATCTAGAAAAGGCCTTCGATAGAATCCCAAGAAAACTTATCTGGTGGGCGCTACGCCACAAATAGGTTCCCGAAAAATATATAAGAATAATACAGGATATGTATATGGGCCATACAACAATGGTCCGGAGCACAACAGGTACTTCAGCGGCTTCACAATAGCCAAAGGAGTTCATCAAAGGTAGACTCTCAGCACGCAGATGATATTGTGATACTTGCCGAATCCAAGGATGAAATGAAATAAAGATTAGTTAGTTGGATAAATATCCTAGAAAAGCACGGACTAAAAGTAATTGGAGAAAAGACGGATTATATGGTGATAGAAGGAGATGAAACCGCGAGTATTGTTATAAATGAATGGCAGATATTGGCAATTGAAAGCTGCAAATATTTGGGCTCCACTATACAAACAAACGGCACAGTAGAAAAAGAGATAAAGAGTAAAATTAATCAAGGGTGGTTAAAGTGGAGATCTTTATATGGAATGCTATTTGACAAAAAAATCCCACACAAATTAAAGGGAAAAATTTACAGTTCCATAGCACAACTAACTATTCTAAGTTCGGAAACATGGCCAACCAAAGAATCAGACGAGAGAAGTCTACAAACTATGGGGAGGAGAATGCTGAGGATGATTGCTGGGGTAACAAGAAAGGATAAAGTGCGCAGTACAAGAATACTAAGTAGTTTAAAGGTAGTGCCCATTATGACTAAGTTAATGGTAAACAGACTTAGGTGGTATGGGCACACAATGAGAAGGCCTATGAACTACATAGGAAATAAGGTTGAGAGTTTGGAAGTGATGGGCAAACGTAAAAGTGGAAGGCCAAAACTTCATTGGGGCCATAAAGTTAGAGCCAATATAAAGAAGTATAAATTAAATAAAAGAGATTGTATGAATAACATAAAGGGGAGAGAGATGTTGAATGAGCTTACCACCAGAAAAGGTGAAAGCTAAAGAGAGAAAAAAATGATACGTTGTCAAAATGTAGTAGCAAATAATTCTTCTTCTTCTTCCCCGTTTTATGGCGATATCCAGGTTTACCAGGGTAGGCCAGTTTTCCCTCTGATTTTTCTTTTCCATTTTTGACTGTCCTGAGCATCAATATTTGTAAGATTTATGCTTCTTATATCCGCCGCTATCACTTTTGTCTACGTCATCTTGGGTATTCCTCTAGGTCTTGATCTTCCTACTTCCATCATTGTGCATCTCTTTACCCAGTCATCTTTTGTCATACGTTCCACATGCCTAAACCATCTTAGTCTATTTCGTCGCATTACCATTCCAATCATGTCTATATCCAATCTTGCTCGCTATTCCTTGCTAGTTTTTCTCTCTCTCTCAGAGATATCCCACACATACATCTAATTATCCTCATCTCTGTTCTTTCTAATTTGGCTTCGTGAGTCGCTTTCATTGCCTATGTTTCGCCCCCATAAACTAAACAACTTCTCACACAGCCGTAGACTTTCCCCTTTAACTTCAGAGAGACTTTATATTAGTAAGAATAGACGACATCTCTCTGAACTTCTTCAAAGCTTGTCTGGTCCTTGCAACAACGGCAGAATCTACACTACCATCGGCGTTTAGCATATGACCTAAATAACAAAACGTATCCACTTTTTCTAGAGTTAACCCATTGCCAATATCCAGACCACCATTTTATGTATCCCTTTCATGCATGTTCTACAAATAAAGGTCATTCTTCTTAACATCAAACTTCCTTTTTTCCCGCTACATCTATTATGTACCCATTTCTGTCATCTGGTGCATTGGATAAAATTCCTAGCAACTCCTTTTCCACATACACCACAAGGCCACTTACCGGATTCCTCCATCTTTAAATTTTCCCAACCAATCATCACCTTTGTCTTTGATGCATTTATTTCCAGGCCCTTTGCTTCCATATTCATCTCCCATTTACTAATTTTATCCTTCAATTCTTTCTCACTGTTTGTCATCAATACAAGGTCATCTGTATACAATAGCTCCCAGGGAAGTCCTTCACGCATTTCTTTAGCCACCACATCAATTACTAAGATAAATAATAATGGACTCAGCACAGATCCTTGATGAAGTCCTACCTTCACCTCAAAGCTGTCACTATCACCATAATCCGTCCGTACTGCTGTTTGTGCTCCAACATACATTGCCATCACTGCGGTAACTAACCATTCCTCCACACCGGATTTTCTCAAGGCCCATCTTGTAATCTCACGCGGCACCCTATCAAATGCTTTCTCCAAATCAACAAACGCATAATAGAGTTTCTTTTCCTTTACAAGATATTTCTCCTGCATTTGTCTCACCACAAAAATTGCATCTGTCGTGCCTTTTCTCGATGTAAAACTAAACTGTATTTCATCAATTTTAATTTGTTCCCTTATCCACTTCTCTAACACTCTCTCAAATACTTTCATTGCATGTTCCAAGAGTTTAATAGCTCTGTAAGACCCGCAATCTAAAGGATCACCTTTCCCCTTGTATGCTGGGATAATTATACTTCTTCGCCACTCCTCGGGAATAGTTCCTTCTGTGACAATTTGATTGCAACATCGTTAAACCCGATG